TACTTAATGACAAATCTAAGTGGTTCAGATTATGCTGCAAGTTAGTACATTCACAAGTTTCTGTTAAACGTTTTAAAATCATTTATGTGAAGTCTATACTATCACAAATGCAATGTAATATTTGTATTATGTCGCAATGTCATTTCAAAAATTAGACTATAAATGCCTAATAGGAACTAAGCTTACTGAAAAATTAATTCGTTTAAAATTTTACTTTTTTGATTTGGTTTTGTTTGTTTTGTTTTGTGGCATATCAACCTCAGTGGGGTTATATAATGCCAACAAGATATTTTATTGATGGTAATATTTTTCCTCAAAAATGTATTGCTAATAGTATTTATTTTCTTCAAAAATATATTGTTGGTAATAATTTTTCCTTCGAAAAATGTCTTGCTGGTATTAAAATATTTTTACACTTTCATAGTGTTTTAACCCCAGTTTAGGGGTTAACTATTTGCCAATAGCTGGGACCCTAACAGGTGCTACCAACCTTGGTCATGGTGGCTTGGGAACACCAGCAATTAAGAGGTGGTTCCACACTCCTCAAAACCTCCTGATGAGCATAGTTTATCATCATACCCTTGATGGTTTACTCTTTGAACATGCATTGGTTGTGGTATATATAAAACAGAAACCACTGTTTATTTTTTTATTTTTGATTCTACACCCAGGTGTGGAGCCACACAGTTGTTATGAGTGAAGATCATATAATTAATATAAGCAAGTTGTAGAAATATATGAAAATAAAATGGCAGCAGTGAGTGATTGAAGTGCAATTTTAGGATGAAAATTTATTCTTATTTATATGCAGACTATTGGGCTCCTCTTTATTGCTATCAATGTTTTGGCCATTGTTCCCTCTGGCCTTCCTCAGGTCCTTGTCACTCTGGGTAACCTTCAGGGAATTTCAAACTGAATCCTTTATGCAGAGTGCAGCAGAAATACCTCCCACATAATTGTAAAACATTAGCTAGATAAAGACACTATTGCCACTAATGTTTTACTATTATGTGGGTGGTATTTCTGCTGCACCCTGTATAATATACAGGGGTAGATTATACTGATAATAATACTCTACAAGAGGTAGTATTACTCAATTATTGATTGCATCTTTTCCACAGTACACTCACCAGCAGGTAGGTTAGATTTAAAGCTCCAAGTGGATTAAAGTGCTAGTTCATGATATAGTAATTGTGGTTTCAATCTCTGGGCCATGCAGTGTGTACTTGGACTCAGTGGTAACTGAGCAGAATTAGATTAAATAAATGGTTCAGTTCAAAATTCCCTGTAAGTTACCCATATCAACAAGCATCTGATGAAGGCTGGAGGGAACAATGATCGAAACATAGTGATAACAACAACAAACATGAAGATAACATTCTGCATGTAAATGATGTAAATGTGGTTTTAGATATCTCAAAAGCATTTGACAGGATTTGGCATGCTGGCCTTTTGCACATGTTCAATTACTATAGTGTCTCTGAACAAATATTTGACATAGTCTAATCATTCTTAACAAATTGTGTAATGAGTCATGTTGAATAGCCATACTTCTAGATCCTTTCCCCAGTGAACTATCCTTGGATATTCATTATCTTTACCTTCCTGATGTCTTCAGTTCCCAACTCAGTATTTATGCTGATTACATAACTATTTACTTCTGTTTTAATACTCAGTCTGATATGTTTGACAAAGAAGTAGAACTAGCAGTTGCTTTTGAAAATTACCTCCAATCAGTTAACTGGGGCAAGAAATAGCTTATAAATTTGAACACCTCCAAAATGAAACTGCTATCTTTTAATCATCACAGAGAATCATTTTTGCCTTCTATCAGCATGGCTGATGCTAACCTTCAGGAGAGCAACTTGTTATGCCTTTTCTACTCACATGAAGTGGAGCAATTACATTGAATCAATTGCTAGGTCTGCTGTTAGGAAATTTGATTCACTGTGTTGTGCCAGACAAGTTTTGCTGCAAGAATCCATCTCGCACATTTATAAATCTTCCATTCATCCATGCATTGAATATTGCTGCCATATCTGGTCTGGAGCTCCTGTAATATATCTAGAGATTCTTGATAAAATCCAAAGAAGTGTTTGTAATGTTACTGGTCCTGGCATCTTGACTTCAGTCACTTTCCCACTGCCATGACATGGCTTCCCTCTGTCTTTTCTATAAATATTTTCATGGCAAATTTTCTCATGAGCTCTCCTCCTTGGAAACTCAACCACATGAATTTAAGCACACTTCTAGATTAGCAAATAATTTTTTTTTTACTGTTGAAATAGATGCAACCATATTGTCTATTCTAATAGTTTCTCTTCTTGCACTTCTCACCTGTGGAACTCTCTTATGGTTTCTTGCTTCCCTGCCACCTATGGTCTTCAAAAATTTAAATGCAACATCAATCATCATCTTCTGTCTTCCTAAATTTTGTTCTTTCTCTTCACTAACATCTTCTCATTCTCTTTCCCTCTCAGTAACCCCTTGTGCCTTACAGGCATTATTGCCTTGCTTGGGATGAAATTATTAAAAAAAAAAAAAAAAAATTAGAAAAATAATTATTTCTCAACATGTGGATTATTTTTCATCCCAAAATTTGTCTTTTTTTGCAAACCTTTTATTAAATTATCTGTTGCTTAGCTTTATTGTCTCTGCTTTGGACACTTGTAGTAGGTCACTTTTGAGCAAGATGTTAACATTCCACACATATATACTCATATTCACCTTCTTTATGTAATCAAAACCCATAAGAAAACATATTTGGTACTACCCAACCATTATGGAAAAATTAATGTACCATAAAATTTATATTAAGCAGTTTTACTTTTGTTACAGATATTGGCAAAGTTTGAAGATGACTTGTTGGAATTTGGCCACAAAGTGGCCACAGACATTTATGATCTTTCATTAGAGTGTGAGCAGCAGCCTCCACGACTTATACCCCAAAATGCCTGGGGCAAAAGAATTGATACAATTATTACATCTGGGGCATGGAAACAAATGCATGCAATTTCTGCCAAAGAAGGGCTGATGGCTATTGCCTATGAAAGAAAATATGAAAAGTTCAGGTAAATTCTAAGTTAACATATTGTGCTCTAAAGATCCTTTCTTAAAAAATCTCAAGTTATACATCTTTTAAAAATTCATTTGGCTCACATCTGACAATAACTGAGTTCAAAAGACTTTTACCCATTTCCTTTTTACATTTACAAATGTTTTTCCTGTAATTTTTTAAACTGAGAGCCAAGTCAAAAAAAAATCACAGTACAACATTATGGAAGCATTATTTTTTTATTTTTTTTATTTTTAAAGGTGATTGTTTTTAAAATGTGGAAAAATGATTTTTTTTGTTGTTTTTTTTTTTTTACCAGATTTTATCTTCCTAATCTTTAAAGCTTTCCTAATAAGATTATGCAGGTCTTTTAGTATAGAAGAAATATGCAGAATACAACAGATATTTGAGAACACATCTTTAGCAGGCCATAAATAGATGACCTAACATAATGTTATGTGGCTTATACCAAATTTCAATATTTCTCTTTCTGATGTATCATGGGCATTAACATGGCAGCTTCCAATCTGACATAGGAAATAAATAGGTACACCATTCTTGAACCAACACACTTATAATAGTTGTCAGGTATACACATTACCAAACTTAGAGACCTTGCTACTTAGTAGTAGTATGCAAGCAGTAATAATAGTGTTAAATCTATGAGAATAATTTTTAATGTTCTGTAAAAATATAAAAAATAGATTTTTATCACATATATACATACATGTTTTTAATTGTAATTTTCTGTGAGTCTGCTACCACATGACCTCCACCTTAGGAGTAAAGAAACTGTATTTTTTTAGCTACTGCTGGTCTACAAAGCAACATGGTGTTATAAAATAAAATAAGACATATCTCAGCTGATTTGCAGGCAAATAAACTAACATACTCAAGAGCGAGAGCCAGATGTGAACGGGACAAGGCCCCGTCACAAAATGACCATTATTGTCGTCTACACATAAGCCCGACGCACGAGTTCCAGTCGAAAAATAAAATAATATTTTAAAGTGTTTCTATTTTTCGACCAATAAAAATGCTTCCCTTCTAATTATACTTGTGTCGTTTTTCGAGCCTGTTAAGCCATAAAAATGCCATAAAAGGGGTCACACGGGGAAGTACAACAGCAATCAACAGGAGGCCAGGGAAGAGACCTGTCACAGTCAGTCAGCAGCAGTCAGCAGGAGGAGCACAACACCAACCAGTGTGAACTACTATGAGAGATCACCCCAGATCTTCAGCCGGCCTATGAACTATACCACAAGGTAGCTGTCCCAAACCCACACGTTCCTATTGAAATAAATCATGTAAATCTATTTCTGCTGTTGTCGTATTTCCTTCTTGCAACCATACGCTTTTCTATAACAATGGTAAATATATGTTCACTACTAAGTCTGAAATTCTTCTCTAAGGCTCATGTGTCCTTTTATCATTTCTTTGAGTTTCCCCCAAATTTTTATTGTTTCTGTTTGAAAAGTGTTTTCCTTGTTTTTGTATTTCCTTGAAATGTATTTTGTCTGTCCATTTTCCCTTTTGAGAAAGATATTTGTTGTTTCTAGTTTTCACTGTGTCTTTCCTAAAGAAAAAGATAAAATCATTATGAAGCATGGACATTATTTCTTCAAAACAGCATTGTAGTTACACCACTTAAAATATGATGAAATATTAGGTTTTTTAATTATTTTTTTTTTAAGTTTAAAGAGCCTCTTTGTTGGGCTGAAATCATTTTTGAACCATTCATAATACAACTTACATTTTAACACTCTTTGTGAAAATAGAGAAAGCATATGTGAACTTATAATAGGAGTGGTGGGGGCTGAGAACTTTTTGTTTTTATCCATTCCTCAAAATAAGTATTTTAAATCATTGAAATACTGACTTTGGTGAAAACTTTTCAGCACCTCTTCATATATATTGTTTCTATTATTTCAGTCGTGTCTATCAGATGGCCAAACTGCTACTGTTTTCTTCTGCCAGTGGACTCTACAGTTGCCCTTTGGCTATGACTGATGGAGCTGCAAAAATTGCTGAAGTAAGTACCCATTTTTTCTTTTTTTAATTTCAAACCGAGTTTCATTAATTATTTCACTATATTAATTTTTGACTGGTATTTCTTTTATCTTAATTTTAGTTTTGCATTTTATTGCAACTACTTAGATCATCAGTATACAGCATAGATCAGAAATAAGGACAGGTTCCAAGCAAGGCTTGAACTCACATCACCTTTACCTCAGGAAGCCTGTCTATGTGCAACACTTGTTCTATTCAAGACTACTACAATGTGGTATGCTGAAAAGTTATCAGTCTGACCCACTTCCCAAAATAAGTATTCTGATATTCGGCTGATGAAATACTGATTTTGGGAAGTGAGCTGTGCTGTAAACATTTTTCCTTGTACTATGAGTGTATGTCAAAAGAATAATACACATAATGACAAGTGATTGGGCGGGGGGATAAATAGTAAATCTCTATTGTTAGATTTTCATCTGACATTCATAAAGTACTAGTAGTTCAACCAGAATTTGGCAAACATGGATAAATGTGCCTGCAATAAGATGTAGTGTCAAAAGGATGGTTTTTTCCTATGACACCACATTTTTAACTACCTTCACTCTTCTGCAGTGTTTATTGTTTTAAAAAGCAATAATTGGAATGAAACTTAAACATATGATAAAAGTGAATTTATACATGTTTTTGTTCTTGAGAATTTACAACATTCTAAAAACTAATACAATTAGAACTAGTCTAATGCAATATTTATTATCATTTACCAATTTATAAAGAAATAAATGTGAAAACAATTTTTTATTCAGAAATGTATAAACATTTACTAAATTATTAAAATATGTGAACCAGCTATAAGGAAATCCTTATTTACCATTTTAGAAAGGTTGAATCAATTAGCAACTGGCCAATGTTTTGTCAACCATTCCAATAAATAATATAATAGACAATTTAATAGTGTGTATTATTTTTGTTGTCAATTCTCAGAAACAAAGAAAATTTGTAAATTCACTTTTATATGTTTAGGTTTTATTACAATTCTAATCATCGCTTTTTAAAACAATAAACATTGTTGAAGAGTTAAGGTAGTTAAAAAAGCAGTGTCATGGGAAAAAACATCCTTTTTAACACTCTCTCTTATTGCAGGCATTTTTATCCATGTTTGCTGAGAATTCTTTCTAACATGTGACAACTGAGTTGATTTTATAGATAAAATCCGAGATTACATATGGAGAAAGCATAACCAATGCAATTGCAAAATTTCTTAAATATTTCCATCATCTATTGACACTATTTTTTAAACTAATTATAATGATATAAATGGTGTCTCATAATAAAACTAGCCTTTTGTGCAACCTAGCATACAGTCAATATTTTTAACTAATATATTCATGCTGTCAAAAATTAATGGCACTTTATTAGAAATTTTTAATATTGAGATGCAATGAAACAAGTTTTGAGATTCAATAAAGTGGAAATAAAGAATTCACAACTAAAATAGAGGCCAATGAACAGTTTAATTAATCTGTTCCATTTATATTTTTTAGATGTTCAATGGTATGTTTCATTGATTACTTCTGGTATTATATGAATTTATTTTTGCTCAATATCTTTTCATGTCAAATATTTTACATATTTAATATAACCATGAAATGGAAATAACTCTTGGAAGAAAAAGGTTAGCAACAGAATGACAAACACTGTAATGAGTAAACTTAATGCAAGACCAAGTTGAACCAAGATAATCACTTAAAAGAAATATAGGAGTAAAGGAACTGGCTAATTAAACAGTTCATTTTGCTTGGGAACTAATTTTGTCTAAATGCAGATAAACATTTTATTTGTATAGATTATTAAAATGACTAAGGGAAGTAATTACTCATAAATTTACTAACTTAAGTTGATTTAACTCCCTTTCTACTACAGATGTAACAGGAAATATATACATAAATAAGCATGATAATTATTATATGGTTTGATAATTGATTTTCTACCAGAAACTTTCACCAGGGGGTAGATAAAATTGGCTGTTCCTCCTTCACTGTCAAGTGGATAAAATTAAAAGGAATAAAACCTAAAGGAAAATGACTGTTAGGTTAAGTGTAAGCTGATTAAAGTAGGGATATTGTAATTCAACAGATTAAGGATATTGTTTGGAGGAACAAACTCCACCTCCCATATTCTTCAAGGGACATAATTTTGATAGGAACCAAAGTAGGAATGGACCACTAGATTTACAAAAGTGAAATACCAAAATCAAGCAAATACAATAATTTAAGTATCTGAGAAGTGTTTTGACAGAGGATAGAAAGTGTGAAACTGAAATCTGATGGTGCATTGGGATAGTGAATGGTGCCGTCTAAAAGCTAAGCAAAGTATTAAGAAACTGGAAAATTTTGTCAGAAATGAAGAAAAGAGTACCAAGCTTAAGACATATTGAAGGTAAGAGGGACTTAAGAAAACAATGCATAATCTAATGAGCTTGTGTCACTGGGTGGCAGAGACAGGGTTTAGTAAAGATAAGAAAGACAAAATCTACTAAGAGCTACAAGAGACAGGAAATTGTGAAGAGCCATGATTGCTAACATCCCAAACAGATATGGCACATAGAAGATAATGCCTATGATACTGTGGAGGTTGTACATGATTTCTCAAAGTGTAAGGAAAATGTTAGCAAAAGTAATCTGACTGTTTCGCCAAGTGATATTTTTGTGATATAAAAAATTGTAGAGTAATTGGCCATGGTTAAGTGTAATTGACAGAAATGCCCAACAAACAGAATTGACAGTTTCTGACAAACAATAACAAAAGAAAGAAATGAACAAGGCAAAAATAATACTAAGCAGACAATATATGCAAGACAAAAGTAGGTAAAGCAACTGTAATATGGCAAAAAAGTTCACAAATTAAGAATGGTGTTAACCTGCAAAAGAAATACAGACAAGTGATTGTAGCATTCTCACTTCAACACAAGACAGAACAAAAATATAGCAGAGGAGTCTGAGAAGTGGTCTACCTTATTTGGCTAGGAAGAAATCCCATCGTGTCTATAAATGTGGGGAGTCATTCCGATGCTGATTGTTACCAACAAAATGTCTCAAAATGGTTTTAGAACTAAAATCAAGCATTTAATTTAGATCAGCTAATATCTTATTTAAAAGAATTATTTTTTCTTTAATTTATCCTAGATGCATCAAGAAGATAACTTACATTTGAAAAAAGCTTTTACTCATCTCACCAGTAGAAATCCTATTGAATTCTGGACATCAGGCCAATGGATGACTGAGCGCCAAGGAGGTTCTGATGTTGGTAAGATTTCTTCCCAAACCACTGTCTTTTGTCTAAAAGTCAATTTTATGTTTTATGAAAACAATAGCAAATATTATTAAGTTAATGTTTTTCTTTTCTAGGAAAAAGTGTTGTTAAAAGTTATTTAGAAACTCTTTAATGTCATTTAAATTGCACTGAAGGCAGAATAATTTTAGTCAACACAATCCTTTCAGAATTGTTTCATATGCCTTACCACTTGCTCGTCCAAGTTTTAACTAGTGGGGCATGATATTGGTACTTCAACCTTGTGATTGACTAATCTGTTGTATATCACTTAACTTGAATTTTTTATTAGACTTTATTGAAATCATATGAACAAAATGTTTCCACTATGATGAAATAAAGATGCACAACTCCAAGTGACTGAACATAGAAGTTTGGAAATGTTTCTGGGATGAACAAAAATGGCTTCTTTTTTTTTTTCTGGCTTCTGCAGAATTTTACTTTCCTTAAACCATTCTTTATGGTTTTAGATTTTGTTTTATGGCATATCAACCTCAATGGGTTATTTAATGCCGACAAGATTTCTATTGCTGGTAATTTGTTTTTTCAAAAATGTATTGCTGTTAATAATCTTTTACAAAGAATTTCTGGTATTAAAACTTATTTTTACATTTTCATGGTGTTTTGACTCCAGTTTGGGGGTTAACTATTTACCTATGGCTGGGACCCTAACAGGTGCTACCACCCCAGGTCAGGGTCGACCTGGGAACTCCAGCAATTAAGAGGTGGTTCCACACTCCTCAAAACCTCCTGATTAGAGGCCTTGCTGTTGGATGTAGTTTATCGTCACACCCAGGATGTATAGTTTTAGATTTTGGCATAATTATTGTAGAAGGGAAAAAAAGTAGCTGTATATCATACAAGTTAAAGCTGAGAATCTACATCCAGGGGTGTGTGGTGTTCTGTTGAATGGCTAGATTACTATTTTATTACCACTGCTGCTTCCTACCACCTTACTCTCACAATCTGACTACATTTAAAACTTCTCTTTTTTCCCCATGAAATGACTCCAGATTTATTTTATATGCAAAGTTAAGGTACCTGGTAGTCTAATGTTTACCTAGATACAATTCTATATATTCTTATCATGCACCTCGTTCAGTAATGCACAACTTTGAGTGTTTCTTGAGCTTTATATTATATGAACATTTATTAAAAAAAATACTGCAATATTAACTGTAAAAAAAAGAATGGGTAGCTATATACTGTCAAATACAATATATAAAAAAAAATATAGAATTAAAGTGACACAGCAGTATTGTGTATTGCATGCCATATATGGAATAGAAGATAGTACAAGATCAGTTGACAAGATTTAAAATCAGCCAACTGATAATCATAACATTATGACTAAGTATCAAGAATGGATGACAGACTTAAGTGTTCCAAGAACAAATTTTAGTACCAAACAGATAAAACATTCAGAAAACAAATGAAAACAGAAACAGATTTTACTACAAGGAATTAATCTGTACCACCTCAACATATAAAAATTCTAATACACAACAATTGATCATGTGAGTGTAACATTCTGCCACAGATATAATAGACATTATTTTCAAAAAGTGGCAATGATTTCAACCATAATTAACTATGATTGACTAGCATAACAATTGACAAGGAGAAAACAATAGTATCACAAATGTATTGCTGATATTTTAATTATTTTTCAAAATAAACTAGGATTTTTATATTTGGATAATCATGAGAAATTGTGGTTGACCTTTATCCTACCATTACACAAAAAAAGTATTCTTGTATATATAATAATGAGAAAATTCTTGTATATGATGATTGTCATTATAGTTTTGTATGATGACTATATTATTTATAAAATGTGTTTAAATAGTGTTTCATCTTTTTTCTTTTTTTTTTTTTTTAGCGGCTTCCACAGAAACAATTGCCAAAAAAGAAGATGAAGAAGATTTTTACAGACTTTTTGGCAATAAATGGTTCACATCTGCCACTGATGCAAACATTGCATTCACCTTAGCTCATATTGTTGGAAAAGATGGACAGCTCTTACAAGTAAGTATAAATATAAAAAGTCAAATATAAAAGTTTTGGTTTGGTTTAATTTCTCTCTCTCCCTCCTTCCTTTTATATGATAGGACACCAAAGATATTATATATTAAAATGCCAAAATGAAGAGTGATCACTTCATGTAAAATTGTACAGACATCAACTATGACACAGTGTTCTTATAGAATAAATTAACCAGATTTTATTGTCTTTGGTGAGACTGAATTTGGAGAATGCTTTGTTTTGTAAATACTTCTCTTTAATACAATGACAATGATGTTCACCTGGTACAAGAATATGAAAGGAATGAGAGTGGTTCGCTGCAATATGCATGTCATGGCAGGTTTTCCATCTGTGAGAAAGATCATAGAGTAGAAATGCAGTAAAAATAAATACTGTAATGCAGAGATGCTTTTGTACTATCCAGACTGGAAAGTGAAGACTGGGCAGCTTTTGCCCATATATGGTAGCAGTGCTCCATTTTTGGCCTGATCTGGTTCTTGTAAAGAAAGAGGATAGCAGGAGTCATGTACTTATTAGAGCCAACCATTTTTCCAGCATCTTTAGCAATGGATCATATGTAAGAGTCCTACTTGAGGCCTAGGTTGAGTAAGTCCCAATAAGTGCTCAAGGTATGGGGTCTCCTTGAAGGAATATCCATTCATTGCGATCAGTGAAAGTTCTGGGTCTGATTGGTGATGATAGAATAATACTAATTTGATTTTCGAGGCACTGAATGTGAGCATCCTGTTTTTTCCCCACTGAGCTCTTAGAGCTAGGTCATAGGAATGATCAGCTGTCAAGCACTGGTCATCTAGACTTTTGGAGGTGCACCCATATACAGTTGTATCATCAGTATAAATATTCACAAATGATCAGGCAAATCATTTATATAAAATAAAAAGAGGATTGAATTGAAAAGCGAACCTTGGAGATGCCTGCATTGATCACTTTGACCTCGGATGACTGGCCATTAAAAACTACCTTCAGGGACCTACTCATTAGGAAGGACTTTATAATTGAGAAGGCTCTTCAGGGATTCTGTAGCTAGAGAGCTTGTGTAATAACCCTTTATGCCACACCTTGTCAAAGACCTTTGAAATATTTAATGTGATCATCCTTAGATGTATTTGTTGTCTAGTATCTCACTGATTCTGTGAGTAATGACAATTAGGATATCAGCAGTGGATTGGGACAATTGAAACTGATATTGTTTTGTCACTCAAGTGGTTGTTCCTACTGAAGTGATCAACAACCTTCTTGTTGATTATAGCTTCAAAAAGTTTGCTAATGTCAATGAGGAGACTGATGGGTCTATAATGTGAGGGGGATGAGAGCTCCCTTGCATTCTTGAAAACAGGGCATACATTTGACATATTCCATAGACTTGGGAAGAATTTCTCCTTCAAGCAGTGGTTAAATAATTTCACTAGGATCAGGGATAACTCCTGATTAATATCCTTAAAGCCAACCAATGTAATTTTGTCTGGACCAATAGCCTTCTTAGGGTCAAGACTTTTGATAAGTCTTCAGACATCATGGGGCATAAAAAAATGTTACCGAGATTATTCTCAGTGAGACAGAGGAAATCAAGAAGGATATGGCCTTTGTCATCTAACATTGAGTTAGTGGCAAAGTGCTTTGCCTTATCTGACGAGGATGTGATGACACTTTGCCTCTATTCAAAATTTGGCTGGAAATCCTCCAGAACTATCAGGATCCAATTTGTTTGCTTTCAACCTTTTGCCTGTGCATCTTGCATTTTCTAGAACCCTCTTGCAGTGATTGCGAGCAGTTCTGAATGCAGCAATTGTCCTACTATACCGTTCCCTGTGATAGATATTATAGTAGTGGTTATAGTGAGCTATGGCTGCAGCACATTCAGGGGTGAACCAGGGTTGGCTGTTTGGTTTTTGTGGGAATTTTTTCTGGGGTTTTAAACTCTTCATTCCGGATAGGACCTGTCAGCAGTTTTGAAGGCAGTATGTTGTGATCAATTTTAAAAACAATATTGGCATGTCAATTTGATGTTGATTTATGTTTAAAATATAACAGTAGTAGCATAACAACAACAAAGATGGAGATAATAATCTGAATGTAAATGATAAATTCTTATTCCAGAAATTCAAACAAAAATTATTGAATCTGTGCAGACCTGATGTGATATAACAATAGAGGTGTTCAGAAAAGATCCATCAAAAGTTGAATGACAAATTACCTAAGATTCCTAAAAGCTAGGTCCAACCAGGCTTTTGAATCAGGATGTCGGTCAGTCCTAGGAAAGCACAATGAGTAGTGGAAAGACCAGAACATGCTCTTGCGAAGGAGAGGATTTTTAACAACCATTGGTGATAACAACAACCATTGGTGATAACAACAACCATGACGAGGACAATAGTCTGAATGTAAATAACTCAGAAATTCAGACAAAAATAAACAGTAACTTTGTTTTTAATTAATTTCTTAGATCAGCAAAACTTAATGAAATTCTCTGATGCATATTTGCAATCTAGGAAGACTACATAAAGGGCTCCATATATATAAATGTTTTTTTTTTCTTTCTTCTTTTATTATTTAAGTCTGAAATAGTATTTTGTTTTTACTTTGTTAATTTTTAAATCTACCTCTCTTGGTGTTATACTGATTGTAAGCATCATCATAATTTGACCAAAGACTCAAATTCAGATCAGGTTGTACTCCAAAATCAAAACTTTATAAAAGAAGTTAACATCTCCAAACAAGTTAGAGACAATGTAAACAACTGAGAGAAAAAGTAGGTCACATTTGATATCTTGCTGCATGGGTTGAAATTTTTGTCAAATTAAAATCAGTGTCACATGTTGTGGCTTCTTAAAAAGCATGCACTTAAGAGAAAAGTAAATATGGGTAGCGGGTATGTGTTTCTTCTTTGCACATACAAGTCAAGGTTAACTAGTGAAGAAGAGTAAAGAATAAGAGAAGATAATGTCTAAATCCAGACAGAATGGTCACATGATCAATTAAAAAAAAAATCTTCTTTTAGCTCTATTCCATAATAGTTGTTGCATCTCAAGTATTAAATGTGTATGCAAATGTAACAATTATTTTGAAACAGAAGTAGTATTTTGCAGGTATGAAAACTTTTGATGAGACGTTATAAGCTCCTGGTACATTTGACCCACTAACAAATTTGATGGACTCTTATTAGTCCAAAGGAATAATAAGATATAGAATTTGAACAAGGAAATATTAACAAATATATTGACAGGACATTTTACAAAAGAAAAGTTATGAAATGAAATGTGAAAAGTTTAAAGCAACCTTAAGTGTCTGTAGTTGATTACTCACATTTTGCAGGAGCGAAAAGAATATGTCTTTTCGCTATGAAAAGTCACCGAGAAAGAGATCAAGTTTTTTCAAATCTCGCACTGCCCATAAATCGTCAGAGGGTGATAATTCCAAAATCTCACCGCGGTGAGATTTTATTAATCAGGAGGTGGTAATCCAACAAGTATTAAAGCATTTTTCTCTTGTTTGCTGTCCCATAATGGTTGCTTCATCTCGTATCTGAAATGTGCATGCAAATGTAACAATTATTTTGAAACAGAAGTAGTATTACAGCATTTTGCTCTTGTTTGCTGTCTCTATCTGATTTTCTTTTTACAGGATATGGAATGTGCAAAATAAGAACACGTAAATATGTGAACAAGCTGATATTTTGAAACTCTGCTGTTGATTCTATTTCAGGGTACAAACAAGCTGACAATGTTTTATGTTGAGGTGAGAGATGAACAGGGAGAGTTGAACAATATTGAAATAATGAACCTAAAAAACAAGCTGGGTACAAGACAAATGCCAACTGCTGAACTCATGTTAAAGGGGACCAAAGCTCACCAGGTGAGTGACTAATAAGAAAAGCATTTTGCTATGAACAACTGGGGATCTACTTTAATAGTTTCTTTTTTTTTTTATTTGTTGTGAAGTGTGTAATTCAAGGTTTCATACTTGAATACCTTCCCAGTAGTAGGAGATATATATATATATATATATATATATATATATATATATATATATATATATATGTGTGTGTGTGTGTGTGCTCATATGCAAATAAGGCAAGGGATAATGACTCAGGAATGAGAAATTGAGAGCTAATTCCTGTCAGGTTTGTCACATATATACAAATACTTTTGGGGAAGGCATGAATCCATCTGTTCTCCCACCAAGTATGGGTTGAATAACAGAACTGTTTGGGTCCTATAGCCTTGGTTGACAACCAGTCTATCAGAGAAAGAAGCATCAGCCTACTGTGGGAAATCTTCCATCTAGTCAGTCATGATCGCCCAAGCATGTATGATTTTGATTGACTAACTAAATCATTTAAACTGATCTAGTACAATTGGAGCATTATATTTAAACTGTCAAATAAATTAAGAGATAGTAGTACATGAGATTGTCTTACCAATCCCCATTTGTATAAGTGAATTCTCATGGGCTTTCATTTGATATAAGTAAAGAGGTAATATAACTGTGGCAGTTACAAAATGCAGGCAGGATTTCACTGCAGAATAATTACTGGGACCAGAAAGATGAAGAATGCTATCTTCATGTGGCAAATGCATGAGGGTTTTCAGGAATATGAATTCTGAACAGATGTCAGCAACCCATGGAAACTGCAGGGACTCAAAGGTGGTACAAGAACTGGACCAACAGTAACTGATAAAGATGATAACCACCGAATATATTATATTAAATCACATCCCAATTCAGTGCTTGTTCTCAACCCATCAGTAAAAAACTTGGATAATATACACTGCATTCAATAGAGGATTTCATAGTTGTCAACCAAAAAATTCACACTTATTGTCACCACAGCATCTGACTACACTTCACCTGGGTCTGAGAACATTGTCATTCAAATATGAAAGACTGGTGCTGGTTAGAAAATTTGTGTTTCCATCTTGTTCAAGCAGATAGTCAAGTTAATGTTTGGAGGAGATCCCATAAATCTATGAATCCAGCCTATC